TATTTATTTGACAGAGAGAGACACAGCGAGAGAGGGAACACAAGCAGGGGGAGTGGGAGAGGGAGAAGCAGGCTTCCTGCTGAGCAGGGAGCCTGATGTGGGGCTCGAACCCAGGACCCTGGGATCATGACCTGAGCCAAAGGCAGACGCTTAACGACTGAGCCACCCAGGCACCCCTGTTATTTCACATTTGAAAACTATTTTACAAATTGCTTTGTACTACATTACAGTCAAAAAATACCAACCACAAACTTTCTTTGATATAAGGCAAGAATTTATATGAAAATATCTAGTGGCATTAATGATAAGAGGTCCATAGCATGTTAGCTTTGAGGTGAGGAGAATAACATTGATGAGGTTACAGTCACAGGGGTAATTTCTATTTGGACAACTTAGGCTGGCCCAGGTCTATGGCCACAGAAGTCCACTCAGCTTGGCTTCTTGCCATAGGGATGTGAGAACTGTAGCTTTGTTATAAGCACATTTGAGCAAATTACTATTGATGGGATCAGGGCAAACGTATTCCAATGTAAGAAAAATAATTTATATATGCACTCCTTATGTTAAGACAGTAGTCTCATTTTTGTATATAAAGAATAGCAGATTATTCTATTCTTATTGGTAGTCAGGGGAGGAGGGGCTATCAGCTAATTGCATAAAAACTCAACTCTGGGATTATCTGTGTTGATTCCAAATTCTAGAGTACCTAGGGGTGGAGGTGGATAATTTTGGATTATCTAGAAGTAGGATTAACTGTGGATGACTTTACTTCTTTCTCATGTTGCTTTTGACTATTTCATTTGCCTTTATTATGTTTATGAAAAAGTAGGCAGAGTAGACATGAGCTGTAGAATTAAGAAAATTCATTTTGCTACTTGTTAAAAGTCCTGAACACTAATGGCTAAATGCCTGAGCTGTGGATTTACAATAGCCATGCTCTCTTGAATTTATGATCATGTAGAAACAAAAGTTGGCTATACATTCTATACATTATGAATTTACCTGATATCTTGGCCTGGTCGAGCTTGCACCAGAATTCGCACTTCAAGTTCCTCAGTGCCCTATAATAAAAGCAAGTCATGTAATTTCAAACAGAATAATCTAACAGAATTTTGATCAATACAATTTAGCTACTCAGATGCTTTTATAATCAGATAGGTCCCAGAATATATACAAATATAGAGAAACACAACCATTTGCTACACATTTTCAACATGATAAATTTCTATCACAGGTTTCTGAAAAACTAGGTTTGATGCCAATAAATTTATTTGTAAATAAATAAAAATTTTCTTCATAATTTTCATGCTTTTAAAAAATGTACCACTTCAAATACTGGATCTTATATTGTAAGTAGCATTCTCAAGGGAAAATAAAAGATATATCTATATGGCTACCCTAATAGATACATCGAATGTGGATGGAGATAACCTGTCTCTTCTGTTCCCAGGAATCATGCCAAGTTTCCCAAATATCTGCAGAAATTTCAGTGAAGGACTTACAGTTTTCCTGGTAGTAGGTGTCTGTAAATTAATGGTGATCATTAATTTTACATTTATGGGCTGTGACACTGGAACTGTGTCTTGTCATCTGTCAGAGTCTGTGGATGCATGTGTTCTGGATTTCAATGCTTTGCTGGCTTCCCTGATGCCAATAAATCTGTTGGACAGTTTTAACAGCAGGCAGTGTGATCTGTATGCTAAGAGTTGAATTTTATAAGCCTTACATGTGGGAAAGTGATTGAAAAGACAATCCCAGATCAAGAGAAGTGGCTGTCTCTCAGCATGCCCAAATTTTACTATTTAGGCAGCCCAGAAGAATGTTATTTATTTTAGCTCTAGCTTTTAAGACATAAAATATCTTAAACTACTTCAAAAAACAAGTTAAGATAGCCAGTCATTAAAATATCAGTTGAAACTATTCTTTTATTAGTGGCTGACCCTCTGGTTCCAGTAACTGCCACTAGTTTCAGTAAGATGAAGGCCCGTTTAGACCAAGACAATTCCCAGGAGCCTTTAGTGTAGACTAGAGAGGGGGCACTGGCATAAATTCAAGTTTTCCAGGCTGTCCTTTGATGGCAAAGATTTTTCTGAATTACAGAAAATCAGAGTTGAAGGGTTATTTGGTTCAAATGCTTGGCTTAATGTAATATTCAAGAACTTGCCCAAGCATTCTTTGTTAAATTCTCCTTCACATTTTATCAGAAACTAGTCTTGATGAACAAATTTCTCAGCTATAAGGTATGTCAACAGTTAATATCTCTGCTGTTCTATTTGAGGTAGTTTCCTTCCTTGTTTGCATGTGAAATTTTGTGGATCAAATGTGGTTCAAATTCTGTTAAAATTACAGTAATGATCATAAAAACAGCTCCTGTAACAAAAGATTTTCAAATATAAGGCAATTCCTATATACTGGAGACCCATACACTACAATGTAAGATCCAAACATTACCAAAACAAACGAACAAACAAACAAAAGAGAAAACAAAAACAAAAAAACCCAACCCAACCGGATTAATCTTATAAACATTGCAGAAAATGGGCATGGTTTGTAATACTGCCATAGGAACAGAGCAGTAAGACCTGGTGATGACGTACATCATCAGACTCCCTGATTAGTTCGGTATCTTCTACTTGTACTACTGCATCAGCACCGCAGGGGATTGGAGCACCTGTTGTAACCCGCATGACTTGTCCTGGCATTACTGTCTGAGTCGGCTGAAAATACAAACATGTAAGAAAGAATTGATTTACTTTGCTGTTGCAAAGGAAAAGTCTGCAGGAGATGTATTATTTTTAGAAACAAACCATAAAAGGAAAATCTTATACTCTTATTCACATTGGTCCAATGTACTAAAACTACCCACAAACAGGTGCATTTACACCAAAGAGGCTTTAACTTGATTTAAGGTAATGACCATTAGACAGATGTCTTTCTTGGTGCCCTGTTCTCCTTTTGAAGAACTGTCACTTACAATTGTCACTGTTGTGTTTCACTCAAATAATGTGAATTTTCTTAATATCTATATGTAAAGTGATTTGAGTATCTTTAAGAAAAAAAAATGCCATACAACGTGATTTTATGAAAGACAATTATGAAAAACTAGCATGTTGTCATTTACTCAGGTTTTGACATTTAAGAATTGTAGTACTTTATTAACTAAACTTTTTGATTTAATAAAGGCAAGTAAAAAATCATTTTAATTATTTCACTTGAAAATCTTTTAAAACATATTAGTTCATCTTTCAATAATAAAAGTCTAGAAAATGTAATTAAGTAATTCAAAATGATTCCAGTGTCTGTAATGATTAAACACTATATCCAAGATTTTCATTATCTGAGCTGTCATACAGATGGTACAGGAGACTGACCCCAGCACCTGACCTGCAAACTTCTCTCAGCATAGAGAAAAACATATTTCTGTAAGATCTATTTGACAGGTTTGATTTGGACACATAGGCCAATGATTTAGGTCACAGTTGGGAAAAGGAATGCTTCAAATTTCCCCTAAAAGAGAATTCTGAGATAATATTAATTTCCCGATAAAAAAGAGATCTTTCCAAAGATATCTGCTTAAGTATTTAAAATCTTAGGTCACAACAATGTGAATAGACTTAACATTACTGAACTGTACACTTAAAAATGGTTATGATGGTACATTTTATGTTATATATTTTCTACCACATGAACAATTTTTAGGGAATGGTTGAGGAAAAATACCCCTCTACTGGATGTACAAAGCAAAACAGGAAATTTATTAGAACAGCCTTAAAAATCTTTTTTCAATAATATTATTGCTGCAAACAATACCACCAATAGCTAAAATTATCAAACCCTTCAATTTATACTAGATACAGAGTTAAGTGCACTGTTAAAGTCTAGAATATAAGCCCTACAAAGACAGGGATTTGTCTTATTTTTTGTTTGCCTCTCCAGATCACATCTTCATTTTCTATCCTGTGCTATGGCCCAGAAGGCTGACCTCTATGGACTGCTTCATCCAGGTTCCCATCACTGTGGCTTCTGATTAGGTTCAACCAATGGGAGTGGTCAACAAGAGATTAGAGGGTAAGACAAAGGGAAAAGTAGGGTTTTCATTCTGCTTGCTCTTTCCCTGCTGGGCTGCAGTTTGGTGATGGCTATATCATCTTTATTACTGAGGGTCACAACTCCTATTGGGTGGCCCTATCTCATAGCTATGAATCTCCTCAGGTCCAGGTACCACTCTTTCCCTTTGCCCCTTTAGACCTAGAGGTGGTTGGTAATGGAGTGTCACTGTTAGTACCCGGGTGCTTAACATTCCTTTGTTGGTTTCCCTTAACCTATTTCTTGGATATAGTCCCTTTAATCACTCCTTTTCCAGAAATATTTATTTCTTTCATACCAAAGCCTAGAACGTGTCTAGCACAAAGTTGGTGTCTAGAATGAATGAATGAACATGTATGATCTCATTAGGTGACAACTACATGAAGTATTCCATCCTTCTTGGCTTAAAACTCCAATGTTCTCCCTGCTTTTCTCCCACAGCTATTGACAAAAGAGATTCTTGGGATCAGCTCTGGCATTGAGCTATGTATCTTATATTTCCTTATTCAGCTACTTGAATAAAAGACATTCCAGGCTTTCGGAATGGTTACATTTTTATGTAATTTTCTACCAAGATGCTGCATAGGGTTTCATATGAAAAGTTTAGGGCCCAAAGCATTAAAATTAAAAAAGAAAATTCAACCTCAATATTACTCATTGTCCAGGACATCTCTTAATGTACTATAGATGGCCATTTTGCAGTGCAGTGATTTTTGATGAAAAGCATTAGTTTTGATATATGTATTTTTTAATAGAGGTACTAATGCTGAAACTATCTTTAGAGCCTATGGAACAAAGATATTTAATATAGGTCTAAACAAGCCCTTCTTTTGCTGAAAGTGCCTTTTTGGCTAAGGCAGAAAGCGAATCCTAAAGTGAGTTTCAGGGCAGTTGCTTCTTAAGCTGAAGTGTATTAGTCTGGAGCCCTGCCTCAATTTAGTCAGGTTCAATGTACCATACTCTGTAAATTTACTTTAAGTTTTATTGTGGTTGTACCTGTAATTTTCTCTACTTGTTTTAAATCAACTCTTAAGAAGTGTTTTCGTGTGATTTTGAACAAAAATTTGACTCCTCTCTAAGATTAGTAAATCTGATATGTGAAGACTTCCTACCAGCTCACTCAGATGAGAGCCAATGTAAAAGATATTATTGGAGATATATATATATATCCACTTAGAGTAAACATATAAACCTCAATTGAACGGAATCAGTTGAAAAACTCTAGGAATACATGAAGTACTTCCTTTAGATTGTTAAGAGTAACAATTCTTTAAGAGTAACTCATTCTTTTTTTATTGCTATACCTTATATGTTTTATATAAAGTAAAAATGGTTAAAATCTTGATTTTTCCTTAATGGAGGTGTTGGGGTTTTTTGAAATTTGCCCAATGACAGCACTTTATACTCATGTAATATTTTCTTTGACAGTGTCCAGTGCTAATCAATAGGACCAAACTATAAGTGATTTAAAGTCAAGTATTTTGGTACACCATAAAAGCATTTTGTAAATCACTATCTCAGTGTATACAATGGCACCTAATTCTCAAGCATATGTACTTTCAATAAGTGAGCAATTTGGCTCTTTTAAGATCTCTGAGATTGCTATAAAGTCTGTATGATACCTTAGTTATAGATAAAGGACATCACAGATAATTTGAAGAGAAACCCCATTTTCTTGTATAGTTTTCATCTTTTTTTCCCATCGACCTTACAAGAAGTTAGCAACTTTTAAGTTTCATGACTTTTCTTGTGTTCCTAGTTCTCTAGTACAGTTGGAAGTCTTAACTAGTAAATAAGGTTAAAGAAGACCACAAGGCACTTATTAATCTGTTACTTATCTACCTATTTATACTAGGCTTTGACTACCACGAACTATTTGCAGTTTCTTAAACACTCCATGCAATTTTTTAAAACACCTCTGTGTCTTGATTTATACTGTTCTCTTGGCCTGGAATGTACTTTTCTCATTTCTGTTTTTGTAAAATCCTCTTAGGTCCAGCTCCAATGTTATTTTCTTAATCCTGCTAGGATGAAATGCTCAACCTCCCTATTGTCCTGCACAGTACATGACTGATAGCATTAGTTTAACACTTAATATATTTAGTTGTTCTGTCTCTTTCACTAGATGTAAACTCCTTAAGAGTAGAAATCATATCTTAATCTACTTTATATCCCTAGAACCCAACACAGTGCTTGGTACACATAGTAGGTATGTTTGATAAGTGTTATTAGATAGACTCAACTGAAGACCAGAGACCTAGAATAATTGGTACTTTGTGGCCTTGTTATACAAATGGATGCTTTAGATAACCAACACTGATTGAAATACATATCAAGAAGTCAAGTAAATTATGAGGTCATAATACAAGTCATTTATAAAAAAGGGACCCAGGCCTAGCTGTTCTTTTTGCCAGGAAAACAGTCATGAGGATTTAAATCAGCCTGTGTACAGCACCTAATCACTATAGTGCCAGGCTTGGCTTCAGAGATCCATCCACAGTTCTCTTCAATGCTTGGATGTAGGGATGAGGTAGCCTCATCCTGGGGTCACCAACATGGGCACCATACTTCTCCTATATATGTCCTTAACTTTTCCATATTTTCAGTACATATGGGAGTACATACTAAGCCAAGGAAGAAAAGGCATGGGACATAGCTTTTGCCCAAACCTCCACATTCATTCATTCATATCCTCCTTTATTTTTTTATAATGCTTATGAATGTTGGGTAGTAGCAGAGGAAAAAAGTATCTTGGTCTTCTTCCGGTTCTATTTAATAAGGCAAGAGCTCTTTTAACCAACCTTCAAAATTCACTGGATTAACATATGCTCTCTATTTCCTCTTAAACATAAAGATGCTTACAGCACTGTTTAAGTTTGAGGCTGTTAGACTCTTGTATAATTGTAAAGTACTGCTTTACAGTTCAATTGAGTTTCTTCCCAAACTTGTTTGTGCCAGTTTGTGGCAGCAGTTGCTACTGAATTATGTAATTTAAATAAATATTACATAAATTAATGACATACGAGTGTGAAAAAAATTTTTTTTCCTAGAAAAATTAAGTTAAACCTTTGGAAAAACTCAATTAAAACATTTTGCCAAAAACAACTGTCAAATTAAGTGTGGGTAAAGTAGCTGTAAAAATTGTAAAAACACAATAAAAATCTAGAAGGATTCTATACTTAGATACTTTGCAAATGTCCTTAATTTTTTTTCCACTTTAAAGACCAAAACTGGAAATCATATAAGTGCTTTTGGGTGTGATTTATGTAAGAAAGGCCAGATAGAAATTGAAATAGTAGATACTTGTTAAAATAAAAGTATTAGCTCTCCATCAAATTATTGACAAATAAATGTTCATTTAAGTTAAACTTACATTTATTTTAAAAATATAAAATAATTTTCCACTTGTTTCCAATTAAATGGCCAATTACTAGTCTCAAAAGCATTAAATAAGAGGACTTCTATGGCCCATTAGTGCTTCATTTCTTAATAGAAATATATATATACCTGTTCACTGGCTAGCCCTAGTGAGCAAAGCTAATCTAAGTGATTAGCTTGAGTGGTTAAATAATTGGCTTCTTCTAATTTTTCCTGTTTGTAACACAGGTTGGAGAAAAGTCTGAGAAGATCACCTAGAAACTATAGATCTATTCAGAACATTAATGTTTATATAGGAAGAAAGAATTATCTAATCATAGGACTGGAAAATGTTTGTGGGGTATGTCTGTGAAACATACCAAAAATACCATGCTGTATATTAAAAGATGCAGATTTCTTTCAGTTAAAAAATAATTATTTTGGCTCTTTCTCATGGGAACCTCCTTTAATCTCTTTGATAACCTGTCTAATTCATCTCTAGTATTTCCATTACAATGATGGTAGAAGGTTAGAATTCAATGCTAAAAGTCCATGAAACTGAAATCTTCAGGGCCTTTCAGGCCTATGAATCTCACCTGCTCACCAGCTTGGGATTCCCCAATGATGAAACGATCTCCTGGACCATCAGCAGCTGTGAGGTGAACAGAACCAAGAACAAACATCAAAATGGACCTATAGCAAGGAATAAGGATCTAGTGTTGGAATTTTAAAATTTGACTCAAATGATCAGATAAAGCTTCAGGAAAATGAATACTTTTCTGATCTCCTAGACCAGATAATGGCGTTATTACTACTGGTTTGATCTTTGTATCCACCATTCAGAAGTACCAGTAGAAGTGATTCTAATCATGCTGTTTCTTGGTGTCACTGGAGATGGTCTTCCTGTTGCTCCATAATTTGATACTTGTACTTTTAATTTTTTTCAAAGATTAATTTATTTAAATGAGAGAGAGAAAGAGCGAGAGAGAGCATGTGAGAGTGGGGGGGGGTGGCAGAGGAAGAGAATCTTCAAGCGGACTCCCTGCTGAGAGGCTGATGTGGGCTGATCCTACCACCCATGAGATCATGACTCATGAGATCACGACCTGAGCTGAAAACAAGGGTCAGAAGCTCAAATGACTGAGCCACCCAGGAACCCCAAATACTTGTATTTTTTAAATAGAACTATTTCTTCTAGCCTGTCCTTCAAATAAATACCCCCCTTTCTATGGGTATATATTTGTGATGTATGTATACACTATCGTGGATATATCTATCTATACTGATATATTACTATTTATATTCATATTTTTCCATTTTCTACAAATTTCAAGCTATTTCATACTATTTTCTTATTTATCACCCAGTCTGATTTTCATAATAACCGTCAAGTAGAAAGAACATATCTTCTTTTTTACATTTGACATTTGAAGGAAATGAGTCACAGAATGAAGGAACTTAGGTTGACAAGTTCTTGTTAGTAGTAGACCTAGGACTAAAACACAGTCCCTTAATTCCCAATACAGCATTTTTTTTTAAAAATAATTGGCCAAAATGCCATTTCTAAATCATAATATATAGGCAGCTGTGCATTACAATTTCCATTGACTATTTATTTTTAAATCAGAAGAAACACTTTCAGAATTGAGATGGAAAAACTTATCCATTTTTTTTCTATATACAGTATATATAGAATTACCCCATCCCCCCACCCACCTCCCCTCCAGCAACCCTCAGTTTGTTCCCTGTAGTTAAGAGTCTGTCATGGCTTGTCTCCCTCTGATTTCTTTCCATTCTGTTTTCCCTCCCTTCCCCTATGATGCTCTGCACTGTTTCTTATACTCCACATATGAGTGAAACCATATAACTGTCTTTCTCTGACTGACTTATTTTGCTTGACATAATACCCTCCACTTCCACGTCGATGTAAATGGTAAGTATTCATCCTTTTTGATGGCTGAGTAATATTCCAATGTGTGTGTATATATATACACAGACACATTTTCTTTATCCATTCACCTGTCGATGGACATCTCAGCTCTTTCCACAGTTTGGCTATTGTGGACATTGCTGCTATAAGTGTTGAGGCGCAGGTGCCCCTTCGGATCACTACATTTGTATCTTTGGGGTAAATACCTAGTAGTGCAATTGTTGGGTCATAGGGTAGCTCTATTTTTAACTTTTTCAGGAACCTCCATACTGTTTTCCAGAGTGGCTATACCAGTTTGTATTCCCACCAACAGTGCAAGAGGGTTCCCCTTTTGCCACATCCTCACCAACATCTGTTGTTTCCTGACTTGTTAATTTTAGCCATTCTGACTGGTGTGAGGTGGTATCTCATTGTGGTTTTGATTTGCATTTCCCTGATACCGAGTGATGTTGAGCATTTTTTCATGTGTCTGTTGGCCATTTGTATGTCTTCTTTGGAGAAATGTCTGTTCATGTTTTCTGCCCATTTCTTGACTGGATTTTTTGTTTTTTGGGTGTTGAGTTTGATAAGTTCTTTATAGATCTTGGATACTAGCCCTTTATCTGATAAGTCATTTGCAAATATCTTCTCCCATCCGTAGGTTGTCTTTTAGTTTTGTCGACTGTTTCTTTTGCTGTGCAAAAGCTTTTTATCCTGATGAAGTCCCAATAGTTCATTTTTGCTTATGTTTCCCTTGCCTCAGCAAATTATTAAGCCTTTCTCTAAACTTCAGTTTTCTTGTTGATAAAAATTGGGATAATACTTTAAAAATAATATCTTTTAAAGCTTTTTAATTCTTTCATTCATTCACTAAATTTCTATACAGTGTTCTATGTCTTAAGTGTCATATCAGATGCTGGGACAGAATGGAGTAAAACCAGCACACATGGTTTCTATTCTAATGCAGCTGTGATGTTTTTCAAAATCTGGACCAAATATGGAGGTGGACTGTAAAGTAAACTTGTAAACAATTTTTAAAATGAGAATGAATAGAAATATATTTCATCACACATGGTAAGGATGAATATTGTTTCATGAAACTTATTTTTGTTTATATGTGTGCATATGTACATTTATATATTGTATATGTTATATATATATATTTTAAGATTTTATTTATTTGACAGAGAGAGACACAGCGAGACAGGGAACACAAGCAGGGGCAGTGGGAGAGGGAGAAGCAGGCTTCCCGCAGAGCAGGGAGCCTGATGCGGGGCTCGATCCCAGAACCCTGGGATCATGACCTGAGCCAAAGGCAGATGCCTAACGGCTGAGCTACCCAGGCGCCACATGTTATATATGTTATATGTGTGTGTATAATGTATTTAATGTGTGTCTTCTTATGGGTGGGGTTAAAGCCATTGATGTAGTGGAGGAGATGGATATTAATCAAATAATCACACTAATAAATATATAAATGCAAATTATGAAAACCATTCTAAAGGAAAGGAATATAATTTTATGAGATCATACAATGAAAGTGCCTGAAGTATACTGGAGGGTCAGGGAAAGCCACCTTGATAAAACGATCTCTGGTTTGAATATGAAGGATGAATAAAAGGTAAGTAGGCAGAAGGGGTATGTGAGTGTGTGAGAGAGGGAGAGAAAAGAAGAGGGGGAGGGAAGGAAGGAAGGAGGGAGGGAGAAGGAGAAATATGAAGTGGAAATGCTCCATCTAAAGATCTTCACCTATGTGCAAAGGCCTCTGGTTCATATCCTCCTTATATCTTATGCCCTAGCCACTCTCAATTTCTAGAACTGTAGCTCCCTGAGAATACCAAGATGACTCATATTTCAGCTCCATAATATATGTTACTTTCATTGCTCGGAGTGTCCTTTTTTTAAATCTGTGCCTTCTGATTAAAGACTTCTTAGCTTTTAAGACTCAGCTCAAGTGTCACCTTTTCTATGAAGTCATACCTGACTCCTCTTCCTTCAAGAGTCAGCTACTTTCTCTTTTGTTTCCCCAGTGTATTCCCTAAATAACCCTAATTATGGCTTTTTAATTATTTGCAATTATTTGCTTATTTGTCTCAGGGGAATCCGTAGCACTTTCTGCATAATAGGTATTCAATAAAATTTCAATATGTGAAGTATTAAAAATGTTCAATAAATGAATATGGCTTCTAAGAATCTATTTAGAAGGATGCATGCATACATGAACAAATAAATAATATTTCTCAACACAAAATGCTACATTTTGAATGCCTTCCATTTCCTGCTGGTTTATGTATAGAGTTTTCAAATGTGAGTCAACATTGACTGTCTTTAGAATGTTTAGAAAGACTGCTCTGGTTAATTTTTTATAATAATTCGGATATAGAATAGTGCCTAGCTCATCACTGATTTTCAATAAATATTTGCTAAAAGAATAAAGAAATGAATTTGGCATTTCCATAATACTTAGGTGGGGAGTTTGTAAACTGATTTGTACATATTAGTATTGTGTTTTCTAAGTTTTCTTGAATAATTTCAAAAATGTGTATGCTTTATTTCTTCAGCTAGATTATGAGCTCCTTAGATACAGGGATCACTTCCTTTATTTTTTTTAAAGATTTTATTTATTTATTCATGAGAGACGTGGGGGCGGGGGGAGAGAGAGAGAGAGGCAGAGGGAGAAGCAGGCTCCCCGAGGAGAAGGGAGCCTGATACAGGACTCAATCCCAGGACCCTGGGATCACGACCTGAGCCGAAGGCAGACGCTTAACCGACTGAGCCACCCCGGTGCCCCATTTATTTCTTTTTTGAAACCCTCTGCTCTTCAACCTTCTTCCTGTCTCCTGCTTCCGACACATGCAAATACACCTACACTCAAAATGCCTTATATCAATATTGTGCACAAATGCTCCAAATAAATGTCACCTAATAATGAGTGGCTGGAGATCATTTGGGGCAAGCCTGCTATAGAGTGTCAAGAAGGCCAACATCTGAAAGAGTCCTTAAATGAGTCTAAGGAGGAAAGGTACACTGACTGGAGAGAGAATATGTGCTCACTTACACTATGTTCTTCACCTTGCCCTGAAAATTTCTATCTGGGAAACATGTCTCTATATTGCTAGCTAAAGAAGGCTCAGTCAAACCACATTATAGAAGGCTCTTGGTAGCAAGAGAGAAGTTGTTTTTATTATTTCCTTTATAACAGTACTTCTCAACCCTCAATGTGCATACAAATCACCTGGAGATCTTGTTAAAACACAGATTCTGATCCACTAGGTCGGGATAAGGCTTGAGGTTCTACATTTCGAACAAGCTGATGTTGATGGTGCTGGTTAATGAACTACCCTTTTTGAGGAGCAGAGCACTCTAAGAGTGAATTGAATATAGACAAATTCAGACTTAAAGAAAACATAAGGAGTAAAAAATTAGTGAACTACAACAGAAATCCTGATTTTACATTATCACAAGGCTCACTATTTCTTAAAAAGACAGAAAAATAATGATCTATCTAACTTGCTGATATTTATTTTAAAATATCTATTAAAGAGACAGGTAAAAGAAAAGTTGCCATTTTCAAGATGAATTCTACAAGCTTGGGTGGGAAGGAGCAGAAGTGGAGGTATGTTGGCACATGAATCTAAAGCTTGGAAAGAAATAAACTAAGTAAGCCACAGTATGCCATTAGAAAAGATGGATGGATTCCAAGGATTACTGTAGAGGCTTAGAACCCCCTCCCCCCACATTTAGAAATTTCTCTTAATGAGTTTTCTTTTCTTTTTTGTAATTGTAGAATTTAATTTGAAGGAAGTGATAAAAACCAATATAAACCAAATTATATAATGCAGCAAATGCATTATATAACTGATTCATAATGCTTAATGCTAGACCCTGAAGTTGCTCCCACTTCTACCTTCTTTTTTTAATGTCCAGAAAACACTTTAGTCTTCTTCACCTGTTTATTTAAAGATTATATCAATTTTAAATGAATACCATTAGATAACTATTTATTGTGGCAATGATCTTCCTTGAGCCGTTTACCATAGAACTATCTTTCATTTTCATTTTCCAGCCATATGGGAACTCCTTTTATGCCTCTTGAGACACTTTTTAGCTATATGTATTTTCAATAATAAAGAGTTTTGACATTTCCATGGTAGGATTGAATAAACTGAGACTATAGAGATGGCATAACTTTCAGAGGTCCTAGGAAATATCTTTGACAGAATAATCAGACAGAGGGATTAAGAATTGATTATGGAACCAAACTGTCTAAGACTTGATAATAGGCAACAGGGTAGTAGTATTTATGTGTATACTGAAATTAAGATTATAGAAAGTGTTGGGTGGGGCAAGGGAAGGTGATAAGACTAGCACAGCAGGATTAATACTTGCTGCAATTATACTGAGGAATTAAATCAGGTGAGTTGTTTGGAATTTTAAATCTGTGGCTTTTTCTTATGGAAAGCAGGAAGTTAAGAGTAGGACAGGTGAGTGAGCAAGCATTTTGAATTCTTTACCATCATCTTCCAGGAAAAAAATGCCCATTTATTGTTAGTATTGGGAAAAGAGATACTATTTCCTTAAATACAGTATTTTAAGTTTTTTGGAATTGACCAAAATTAATTAATTCAAATATCTCTGTTCACTTGAGTAATATTCCCACATCATAAGGCCCTCTTCTTTATCCAGAGTGACTTATAGTGAAATGCAACAGGTTATCAAATGGAAAACCAGCTGTGGCCAGGGATTTAGGTGGAAGAAATAGAAACCCTAGAACATGGCTTTTGTAAAAGAACAAAAGCTCTAAATCAAAGAGGTGATACTGAATTTTAGTATGCACTTTAACCCACTGGAAGGAAGTACACAAAATGTTAATAGTGGCTAGGCAGTGAGATAATGGGTAATTTTAAAATGTTCTTTTTAATTTTCTGTATTTTTCATAAGTATGTATTTCATTCAGAATGTAAAAAAGAAAAATTTAAAATTTACTTTACCCCAGTGGCAAAGATTTGTCTTATATCCTTCCAGAATTGTTTGTTACACGTGGTTCTCAAAATAATTAGTGGCTTGTTCAGACTTTTCCCTCTTTCTAAATCATCTCTGTAAAACAAGTTCTGGAAGGGATAATACGCCTTTTGAATTGAAAAGTTTTAAGAAAGCTGAATTTGGGATGTGAGGTACTTTTGCCTTTATTAACATCTACAAAAAAACTGTGAGATAATAGGCATCCATATCTCTAGGGGAAGGTGGAAATGCATCGAGATGATGAGCTTAATCAGTGTGAAGGGAGAAATAACTCTTCAAAAATATTAATAAAAGTATTGTATTGATCTTAATTAAGTGATAACATGCTACTTTCATTTTATCTTTCAAATTCATTCCATCCTTGGGAGAGGTCAATTGTTAAGACTTGAGCCTGTCACCTTCCCCAGCTGTCAGCACCCAAAATAAATCCTTCCCTTTCTCTTTTACAAAAAAAAAAGTTCATTCCATCCTGAATGCAGTTTTAGGTTTATTAGGTTACAGGTCTTCCTATTATATCACGATTACTTGATTCCTGCCTTCTTTAAACTCTTTAAACTCTATTTTTTCTTTCTTTCTTTTTTTAAAGCCGTTCTTATTTCTTATTTGCTCAGTCATTTTTTACTGTCTTGATTTTTCAACCCACATACCTTAAAGCAAGTGATCCTCCAACTGGTTTGGAGTGTTATGCCACATGTTTCTGAAGGATACTGGCTAATGCTTAGTGATCCAGAGCAAGTTAGCAACCTCTTTACACCTACAGGGTTAGCAATGCTCACAGGTGCCACTGGTTATTACTGGAAGGCCTACGGCAAAGGCAGAGGAGAAGAAAAAAGGGAAAATAAAGGGAGTGGGGAGAAAGGAATGGGAGTAAAGGAAGACAAGGGTGGAGAGAAGGTACACGAAGTAGAGAGCCACAACAGCTTCAAGGATGTTCTTTACCAAACACTGCCTGTGGGCGGTGTTCTAACACAGAAAAGACTGGGACCACGCCTCTTTGTTCACCGATGGCTTCTGCTGCCTTAATTATGATGTTGGTATATATACACAGACACAGCAAACATTCCCACTTTTGAGATTTAACCATATCCATAATGGTTATCTGTTATGTATTATGTCTCTGTTATATATTCTGTATCTTGGAGATAGCAACACTTCACAGGAAAGAAATAATGTGAACAAGCTGTGTAATAGTCTGTTGGAACGTTTTATATTGTGAGATGTTAGATGTTTTTTATTTGTGTGTGTGTGTGTGTGTGTGAAATAGCTAAAAACACCACCATTTCAAAACAAAAGAATAAATAAGATATCAGATGGTAATTTTATATAAAATTTCTTTGGTAGATTCTATGGTAGCAGAAAGGCTCTTCTAAGGCTCATGTAGGCTAATCACTCTTTTTGGCAACTAGAAAAGCTAAGAGCAATAGTTTCTTTTTATTGAGCTGCTGCTATTTCATGCAAAAATCACAGAACAACATTCTGTTTGAGAATAATTCTGTCTCAAATAATTTATTTTCTCCCTTTCTCCTTCTTTATATTACCAAGAATGTAAAAAATAGACTTTTTTATCCCTTTGGTATTTCATTTGCTAAAGTTGTCTATTCTACTCTGGAAGTAAGACTTCTTTTTCATTTTACAGTAATCCTATATGGCTACCAATTATAAATTCAAAACAACTGAAATTTTATTTAGTTAATTTATTTATTTTTAAAGATTTTATTTATTTATTTGACAGAGAGAGACAAAGTGAGAGAGGGAACACAAGCAGGGGACGTGGGAGAGGGAGAAGCAGGCTTCCTGCTGAGCAGGGAGCCCAATGCGGGGCTCCATCCCAGGACCCTGGGATCATGACCTGAGCCGAAGGCAGACGCTTAACGACTGAGCCACCCAGGCGCCAGAATTGAAATTTTAGTTGGAGAACAAAAAACAAGAAGAGCCAATGAGGCTATCAGAAGATTGAAATAATTTTCTTTCTGGACAATATTCATTATAATAAGCACTGTAGAAGGAATAAATTTGGAAGAAAAAAAATCATAAGAGCCACTGGGGATTTGTTATTCATGTTTTCAGAAATACTCTAATTTAGTGAGATCAAGCTGAATGAGATACATCCAAGATAGTATCCCCAAGAAAGAATACACTAGTAGAAATTAATCTTTCTACCACTTTATTTACATAGAATAGGAGAGTAACAATTCAAATAAATGTTAACCTTTTTTTTCAGAAATGGTCTATGGAAATGTGTTTATCATAATGATAGTGATAATAATAGTTACCATTATCAAACATTTTATAAGACAATTATTGAGTGCTTGTTTTTGGTGCCAGATAATTTACTAAGGCTTTCTAGGGTCTCATTCAATCCTCACAACTTGTTGGGATAAGTATTGTTATAATTATCATCATTTTACAGATGAGACAACTGAAGCTCAAAAAGTTTAAGTAATTTGCTCAAAGTTATAAAGGTGTAACTAGTACTGGGACCCAGATCACCCTTACTTCGCTTTTCAAAGCCCATAACCATAACCATTTGCTATAGTGCCTCCAACACAAAAAGAAACCACTAAGAAATCATGATGGGACATGGAGGAGATGAATGAATATATTTAATTATAAAAATGAAATTATTTCAATGGCTAGATAGAGTAAAAACAACAACAAACAAGTTAGAGACTCCCTAAAGAACCATTAAAAAGGAACTGGCCTTCTTAACAGCTCTGATAAGCTGGGAAATGTTTTTAGACATTTCTTCAATGATATCAGCCTTGAGTTAATAACCAATAATAGTTTCTAAGTAATTCCATTGCATTTCATTTTGGGTTCTTAGATTAGAATTTAAGCAGGCAATTGCTATTTAGTATATGCTTTTAACCTTTATGCAATCTCAGGGAACTCCAAAGGTATGAGCTGCTGGTACCATAGGAGGTTTCAGAGCTTTGAAATATAGCTCTTCCAGGGAATTAGAGGGTTTCCCTGTGCTTGCTTTTTATGAAGCCCTTATTGATGTTTGAGTTTAAAACAGAAGAAAAGCCCACCCTACATGATTCCTGTGTTGGGAATCTGCTCTTCTTTTTTGGACCACATAAATGTTTCAACTAGAAAACATGGAAAACTTCCAGACCAAGACTGTCTGCTACCTGGTATGTAGAGAGGTCAAAAGAATAAATTATGGTACAGTGTTTCTATCAATTTCTACATATTTGTCAACAAACATTTTCAAGTAATGACAGTACTTTCACTGAAAAGTTTTAATCCAGATTGTTATCTATGAATAAAATTATTTTGATAACCAGGCAGGAAAAAAGTGTAAAACTCATTGGGTGCCTAGGCTGAGCAAAATATCTGAAAAAAAAAAAATACAGTGTGAGTACGATGATACTCAAAGTCACAATATATTTACCTCGGACAGCATAGCCATCTTTTACTGATGCTGGAAAGGGGGGTAGGTTGTCTTTTGCATATACATCTTGAGCAAGGACTCTCCCCATTCCATCTGAAAAAAGAGAAAATAAGAAAAATATTGATTTTGAGAGCAATGGGTTAAACAGGCAGTCATAAACAAGGTGGATAAGTGCCTGTCTGACAAAGCTTATACATGGGCTCAGTCAGACCTCCTGATTTCTATCCCAAGGAGTTGAAGACAGAAGGAAGAGATGTATCCTTGTGTCTGAAATGAAAGATTAGATTCAGTCAATTAATAGTTATGCTTGCAGAGATTATTTGAATATGAGCAGCTACACAGTCATCAAACATGTGTTCAATTTGTTGTGTCATTAATCCTTTAACAACCCAAAGAAGACTTTCTTTAAAAAGCCAATTCTTGAACATTTTCATATTTGTTGATCTGGTAATTTCACTTCTAGAAATCTATCCTAAGAAAATAGATAAATCTTTATGCACATGTTTATTTTAGTTGTTTACATTAGTGAGAAAAGTAAAATAAAAAGATCAATAATATAGAAATTTAAGTAGACAATGATCTATCCTTATGACAAAATATTATGCAGGTTAAAGTAATATTTATGAAGAATATTCATTGGCCAGGAAAATTCTTAGGACACATATTTAAAAAACATACGGAATTGCACATGTAGTGTATAATCTTTACCATGTTAAGATAGATGTGTACATGTCAACAGAAAAAGATGAGAAGGGCATACATGAAAATATAAAGCATTTGTCATTTTAGTATATTAGAATTATGTAATGATTTCCCTTTGCTGTACTTTTCTGAAATTTTCCAAGTTTTTTTTTTTAATATTTTATTTATTTATTTGACAGAGAGAGAGAGCACAAGTAGGCAGAGCAGCAGGCAGAGGGAGGGAGAAACAGGCTCCCCGCTGAGCAGGGAGCCCGATGCGGGGCTCGATCCCAGAACCCTGGGATCATGACTGGAGCTGAAGGCAGCCGCTTAACCGACTGAGCCACCCAGGCACCCCCCAAGTTTTTTATAATGATCAAATGTCATTTTTATATAAAGAAAGTTTTTTTTTTCTTAAGAAAAGTAAAGGAATTTTAGCCTTTGATTTTGGCTTTATTAACCTAAAAAAATTAGTGATTACAAATAAGTAGAGGGCCAGTAACCTGTCTTGTGAAATGACTATTCAAACTACTCTGGATAAAAATCATTTTCAGCTAGAGCTTAGGAATTTGAACTAGTGCCGAAAAGAATAAAGTTTCAAAGTCATGACCAATTCCTTAAATCTTCTAGTCAGAATCTGTCTTTATTATTATTATTTCAAAGAGGCAAAATAATAACAAATAGGAGATGGAGAAGGAAGAAGAGGGGAAGGAAAAAAAATCAAGCTTGTCTCCAAAGACTATAATACAGGACTTGATTTACATAAGATGTTCATATAATTGTTTCCAGAGCTAGATGGGAGTCTTTCTGTCTGTTTGCTTAGTTTTTTGTTTTTGGCTTTGTCCTTCTTGCCACCCAAGGCCTCTGATTTCCACATCCCAGGACCTAGAAGTAAGTACCGAGAGATTTTTAGTTTTGTACTCTGATCCAGTGACAGTGATACTCTTTCCTTTTAGGGAGGTGACAGCTGAATTGGAAGGGAGAACTTCTTAGCAGATTCTAGCTTCAGATATTCCTAGAAGGTTGTAGCTATTCTGGAGCTACCCTGGAGCTATGGACCTTTATTCCGTAAGTCCAGGGAAGTGGTGAAACCAGAGTCTAGTTTGGATTCACTTATACAAAATTAACTGCCAAATGAAGCTACAAGATAGTTCCTGATGGTATTTGCCTAGGATCACAATAAACCTCCTGGGGTGGCTCCTTGCCTGGAACTAATCTGGCCTGGGGTGGTTCATGAAAATGTAAACTCTACCCTAGCTTAGATCCTAAGAGAAGGACTTTGCTAGGATTTTGAATAGCTCATTAATAGTAATAGTTAATAATAAAAGATAGCACAAGGATATTAAGAAGTACATACTTCCAGGTACAAAATAACTGGTTTGCCTGGGTCTTCAGCTTACAGATGGCATATCATGAGACTGAACAGTATCCATAATCATGGGAGCCAATTCCTCACAATAAATCTCATCATGTATATATTCCTATTGGTTCTGTTTCTTTGGAGAACCCTAACTAATACAAATGGAACAGAATAGAAAGTTCAGAAATAAACTTTTGTGTATATGGTCAAATGATCTTCAATGGGGAAAGGAGAGTTTTTTCACAAATGGTGTTGGTGTTGGGAAAACTGGATATCCACATGCAAAAGAATGAAGTTGGACCCTTACTTTACACCATATATAAAAACTAACTCAAAATGGATTAAAGAACTAAATATAAAACCTAAAACTGTAACATTCTTAGAAGAAAAGATACAGGAAAACTTTATGACGTTGGATTTGGTAATGATTTTTTTTATAGCGGTGATGAATAGATAAAATGTTTTCTTTATTTTTTCTGATTTTATAATGAAACATTTCTCCCAAACATTTCTGATTTTATAATGAAACATTTCTCCCCATTTCTGTAAGTGGGCCTCAGTTTTTTAAAAGTTTTTATTTCAATTCCAGTTAGTTAACATACAGTGTAACATTAGTTTCAGGTGTACAATATAGTGATTCAATACTTCCATACATCACCAACGCTCATCGCAACAAGTGCACTTCTTAAACCCCTTCACCTATTTAACCCATCCCCCTACCCACCTCCCTTCTGGTAGCCATCTAGTTTGTTCTCTATAGTTAAGAGTCTGTTTCTCAGTTTTGGTAATGATTTCTTGAGTATGACACCGAAGGCACAGGCAACTAAAGCAAACATAGACAAGTGGGGCTACATCAAATTTAAAAACTTTTGTGCATCACTACTGGGCATTTACCCCCAAAATATAAAAACACTAATTCAAAGGGATACATGCACCCCTATGTTTATTGCAGCATTATTTAAATAGCCAAATTATGCAAGCAGCCTATGTCTACTGACAGATGAATGGATAAAGAAGATGTGGTGTGTATATACACAATGGAATATCATTCAGCCATAAAAAGAATGAAATCTTGCCATTTTCAACAACATGGATGGAGCTAGAGAGCATAATGGCAAAGCGAAATAAGTCAGTCAGAAAAAGACAAATACCATATGATTTCACTCATATGTGGAATTTAAGAAACAAAACAAACACAGAGAGAGACACATACCAAGAAACAGACTCTTAACTATAGAGAACAAACTGCAGAGTACCAGAGGGGAGGTGGGTGGAGGGATGGGTGAAAAAGTGATGGGGGATTAAAGAGTACACTTATCATGATGAGCATTGAGTGAATCACTATGCTATACACTTGAAACTAATACAACACTATATGTTAATTATACTGGAGTTAAATAAAAAATCAAAAAAAAGATTATATAGGAAAAAAACTTCTGTGCATTAAAGGACAAAATCAACAGAGTAAAAAGGCAATCTATGGAATGGGAGAATGTAGCTGCAAATCATATATCTGATAAACAGTTAATGTCCTGAATATATAAAGAACTCTTATAACTCAATAACAAAAAGATCAAATAACTCAATTAAAAATGGGCAAAAAATTTGAACAGATGTTTCTCCAAAAATGATACACAAATAGTCAACAACATATGAGAATCAACATCATTAATCATTAGAGAAATGCAAATCAAAACCACAATGAGATATCACCTCATACCCATTAGGATGGCAATTACAAAAAAAAAAAACAAAAACAGAAAATAACAAGTGTTGAGGAGAATATGGAGAAGTTGGAACCCTTGTACACTCTTGGTGGGATTGTAAAATAGTGCAACCACCACGGAAAATCATAAGAAGTTTCCTCAAAAAATTAAAAATAGAAATACCATATGGTCCATCAATTCTACTTCTGGGTTTGTATCCAAAAGAATTGAAAGCAGCATTTCAAAGAGATATTTTCACACCCATGTTCATTGTAGCCTATTCATAATAGTCAAGTGGTGGAAGCAGCCCAAATGTTCATCAACGGATGAATGGATAAACAAAATGTGGTGTATATATTTATATACTGTCACATGATACAACATGGATGGACCTTGAAAACATTATGCTACTAAGTAAAATAAACTAGACACAAAAAGACAAATACTGCATAATTCCACTTACATGAGGTACCTAAAGTAGTCAAATTCTTAGCAACAGAAGGTAGAATGGTGGTTACTAGGGGCTGGGATGAGGGTGGAAAGGGGAGTTGTTTAATGGGTGTAGAGTTTCACGTATCCAGTATGAAAAAGTTATGGAGATATGTTTCACAGCAGTGTGAATGTACTTAATGCCATAGAATTATACAATTAATAATGGTTAAGATGGTAAATTTTATGTTAATGTGGTTTTTACTGCAATAAAAAAGGAATGAGGTACTGATACATGCTATAACATGGATGGATCTTGAAAATATTATGCTAAGTAAAGAATCCAGTCACAAAAGACCACATATATGATCCCATTATATGAAATGTTCAGAGTAGGTAAATCTATAGTAGAAAGTACATTGGTAGTTACTTAGGGCTGGATGGGGGTGATTGGAGAGGATAGGAGAGAATGACATCTAGTGAGGATGGGGTTTCTTTTGAGGTGATGAAAATGTTCTAAAATTGACTGTGGTGATGGTTGTACGTATCTGTGAATTTACTAAAACCCTTGAACTATATACTTTAAGTGGGTGAATTATATAGCATATGAGTTATATCTCAATAAAGGGCAAAGATAATAGATTAAAAATAAGAATATCTCATTTCAACATATACTATATTTAGAAGAACAAAGAACAGTCATTATTTGTAGCACACAATATACCATCTGGTCTTTATAGACCTTCAAATATCATGGAAAGAAAAATAAAACATTTCATCTGGAAAGAAAGAACTGCTTCACATTTAACTAAAGTTATTAATATAAATTTAATAATATATAGAATTAGCCAGTTTTTTTTTTTTTTTTGGACTCATGCTAAATACAGGGGTTGCTATCTTTAAGGTAAATTTGTTCC